ATAGTACTAGGGGGAGAGAGCACAACTTTGTAGTACCCACAGTCAGTGGCCAGGCTTCAAACACCTTTTATTGTACAGCAATAAAGAAATGGAACAGACTACCCGCACATGTCAAAGCCAGTCATAGCGTGAACCAGTTCAAGAAGAGTGCCAAAAAGTGTCTGATGAATGAAGCTACAGAAAGGGAGGGGAATGATTTTCTATTTTTTAGCTAAAATACGTGTAAATTTTACCTTATACCTAGTAATGACCCTCGTATTGTAGATAGTCTTAATGACCCTCGTGTAGTAGATAGTCTTTTTAGTATGATAATAAGATGTAATCTTCATTGTAGAATAAGAAAATATTATAACCTTTATATTATAATAATAAGGTAAAAGGACCCCAATGGAAATAAGTCACTGTCTGACTTTTTTGGGTTATCCTAGGTTCTCTACACATATGCTGCTATGTATGATAATTCTATGTATCTGTATTTGTGTATACCTGAATAAATTTACTTACTTACTTACTTATTCCATGAAAAGGTACCTTTAGGAATGTGGAGGAATGGTCTAAGAGTGCCAGAGAGCCGAAGTCTGGCGTGGCACCCTTGGTATACTCGACCTCAGGGGCGCCTCCACTCCACCTGCACAACATGATGGCCAGGGAGGTGGGTCTCAAACTCTCATGTCCTCAATGTCTGGACGAGCCCCGGAAACTCGCCAACATCACGGTAAGTCTATGTTACATAATGTATATCCAAACACAGAAGTATAAACAAAAGCTGATAAATAGAATAAGCAAACTCACGTAAATGATTTTGCCCCGTGGGGCAAGGGGTGGGTTTACTGGGTAGCGTCACTCATCTTGTTACTGAATATGGTATCTTCATAATATAATACATAACAAGTCTCAATCTCTCAGCCTGGCAGGCTGCCAGAGTAGCGCGTCCATCTGAAGATCAACAAGCGGAGGTTCGAGCCTCTACCACTCCTTGCGCTGAATAACCCACATGGGTTCAGCGGTTTTTTTTCTACAGCAGCCAAAATATTAACACGTAGCTGATGACAACTCCACCTCGGCTGTTTCAAAGTTAACGTGTCACTACCATCACAAAATTTCCTTATTTAATTGCAGCCGATCCTGTATATGTTTTACAAGGTGTTGTTACCGTAGTTACAAAATGCTGAAGGTGTTTATGTATGGACTTCGTCCTATTTATATTCTCCTGTAATCTAGATTTTAAGAAACAGAGAACATGGCGTTACATTTACTTTTTTTTCATTATTTCGAAGTATTGTCACTTTGTCTGACTTTTTTGGGTCATCTTAGGTAATTTACACTATGTATGATAATTGTTCTTATGTGTACCTGTGTCTAAATACACTTACTAACTGCATTCCATAAACATATGGAAAGGTAATAAAGTTTAAGTTATCCCTAAATAATATGTTTTCTTTAATTGACAATTATAAGAAAACGTCTCCCATTTAATGGCTAACAACAATAAAAATAAATAAATTGCAATACAATTTTTATTTCTTCATACTGTACAAATAATGTATTCTATATCTAATACAACAAAAGAGTCACTAGTATGCAATACATTTCGGGCAAACTAATCCTAACGCTTAAATGTTACTTAAGAATTTCTCATACAGTTCACTACAGTCATATATGCGGTAAGTAAGTAAGTAAGATTATTCAGGTACAGGTACACATAAATACAGTTACATAAATTATCATACATAGCAGTATATTTGTAGATTACCTAGGATAATCAAGAAGAGTCAGACAAAGTGTATTATTTCCATTGGGGTCTTTGTAATAACTTATTATTTAAACCTTAAAAGTTAAAACAGGTAAGTAACTCAACTATGTGAAAAGCAGTTACAATAAAGGGAAATATACTAGGAATAAGGTAAATTGAGTTATTTACATTAAGATGATCAGATCACAGCATTAGGTATATGTATGTTAGCTATACAAGAATTCACTCTCCTCCCTTTCTGTTCTTATTCTCTACATTCATTAATCAATTCAATTCAATTCAAAGTTTATTCTCTATAAGGATTACAATGCTGAGTTTACAGAATTTGGTTATTGTGTGGTTTACATGTAGTAAAATAATAATTACAGAGTGTACCACTAGAACACCTAGCATGACTAGACTTATTTTAATTCTTAATTTTAAAATATTACAAATTATGAGGTAAGTTGGTATTATGGCTAAGTGACTAAATACTAGTTTGTGAGTTTAGCAATGTGAATGCTTTTGTTTTGGCACCGTACATAGTTTCAGTATTGGAGTATCACAGGCCAACTCATTCACCATTGTGAATGAGGAGCTGATTAAAATATCGACTTGGATGACAGCCAATAAACTTAAGCTTAACACTGACAAAACCTACTATATTATGTTTGGTAGCAGAGCAGGAGATGCACAAATTAACATTAAGATTGACAACACTCTAATTACCAGAAATAATGGGGGAAAATTCCTAGGCTTATACCTTGACAACAACCTGAATTTCAGCACCCATATCCAGCATATAACCAAAAAAGTATCCAAAACGGTTGGGATCCTCTCCAAGATACGATACTACGTGCCGCAAAATGCCCTTCTCACACTATACCACTCACTTATTTATCCATACCTCACCTGTGCTATTTGTGCTTGGGGATCAACTGCAGCAACACACCTAAAGCCAATAATAACCAAACAAAAAACTGCAGTAAGAATAATCACTAAATCCCATCCCTGGCAACACACCCCCCCACTCTTCATAGACCTAAACTTACTCCCAGTTCAGTACATCCACACTTACTACTGTGCAATCTACATCTACAGGGCCTTAAACTCTAATATCAACCTTGACCTAAAACGCTTTTTTGATAGTTGTGACAGAACCCACAGGCATAACACCAGACACAAACATCTCTACGACATTCCCCGTGTCCGACTAAACCTTTACAAAAATTCAACGTATGTCAAAGGCCCTAAAATCTGGAATACCCTACCTGAGAACTCTAGAACTGCAGACACATTCATCACCTTCAAAACTACCATTAGAAAACATCTTATTTCCCTGATACACCCTGTCAACTAACTACACGAATACCACCTGGTGGTTCACACTTACACTCACTCACTCATTTGACCATAAACAGAAATATTAATCTCAATCTTAAAATAATGAATCCTGTGATACTCCAATACTGAAACTATGTACTGTGCCAAAACAAAAGCATTCACATTGCTAAACTCACAAACTAGTATTTAGTCACTTAGCCATAATACCAACTTACCTCATAATTTGTAATATTTTACAATTAAGAATAAAACTAAGTATGCCCGAAATGCCTAGCCATGCTAAGCGTTCTAGTGGTACACTCTGTAATCACAATTTTACTACATGTAAACCACACAATAACCAAATTTCTGTAAACTCAGCATTGTAATCCTTATAGAGAATAAACTTTGAATTGAATTGAATTGAATTGAATTATTTCAAGATTGAGATTAATATTTCTGTTTATGGTCAAATGGGTGAGTGAGTGTAAGTGTTAACCACCAGGTGGTATTCGTGTAGTTAGTTGACGGGGTGTATCAGGGAGATAAGATGTTTTCTAATGGTAGCTTTGAAGGTGATGAATGTGTCTGCAGTTCTAGAGTTTTCAGGTAGGGTGTTCCAGATTTTAAGGCCTTTGACATACATTGAATTTTTGTAAAGGTTTAGTCGGACACGGGGAATGTTGTAGAGATGTTTGTGTCTGGTGTTATGCCTGTGGGTTCTGTCACAACTATCAAGAAAGAGTTTTAGGTCAAGGTTAATATTGGAATTTAAGGTCCTGTAGATGTAGATTGCACAGTAGTAAGTGTGGATGTACTGAACAGGGAGTAAGTTTAGATCTATGAAGAGTGGGGGGGGGGGGGTGTTGCCAGGGATGGAATTTAGTGATTATTCTTACTGCGGCTTTTTGTTGGGTTATTATTGGCTTTAGGTGTGTTGCTGCAGTTGATCCCCAAACACAAATAGCATAGGTGAGGTATGGATAAATAAGTGAGTGGTATAGTGTGAGAAGGGCATTTTGTGGCACGTAGTATCGTATCTTGGAGAGGATCCCAACCGTTTTGGATACTTTTTTGGTTATGTGTTGGATATGGGTGCTGAAATTCAGGTTGTTGTCAAGGTATAGGCCTTGGAATTTGCCCTCATTATGTCTGGTAATTAGAGTGTTGTCGATCTTAATGTTAATTTGCGCAACTCCTGCTCTGCTACCAAACATAATATAGTAGGTTTTGTCAGTGTTAAGCGTAAGTTTATTGGCTGTCATCCAAGTCGATATTTTGATCAGCTCCTCGTTAACAATGGTGTTGAGGGTGGCAAGATTAGGGTGAGAGATGACATAAGTCAACTGGCGGATGCTGTAACAGACTTTGACATGGGCAGACAGTCTGTTCCACTACTTTATTGCTGTACAATAAAATGTGTTTGAAGCCTAACCACTGACTTTGGATACTACAAAGTTGTGTTCCTTTCCCCTAGTGCTATACCTGCTCTGGTCCCCATTCTTGACAAAGGTATATCATATAATAACATCTTTATTTCTACAAGTACAAGGTATACAGACCTAGCTGACATCAGTGACATACTACTACCTAGAAAGCCGCTTGTTATGCTGAACATTTCGGGAAAATTAGGTCAGTTTTGTTCCAGGATGCGACCCACACCAGTCGACTAACACCCAGGTACCTATTATTACTGATGGACGAACATAGACAACCAGTGTAAAGAAACGCTCGATGTTTTTTTCCCTCGCCGGGAATCAAACCCAGACCCTCACCTTGCGAAGCGAGAGCTTTTGCCACCAGGCCACGGGCCATCATACAGTATTTCGAACTGATTCACTGATCTTCAGTTTTGTGGAGTGACCGAACAGAGATGATGAAGATATGGGAAGATACTTAGAATAGAAATATAATGGGACACGATGTGGTACCAATTTTCTATGGGAGTTGAAGGTGTAAGTAACTTTATTTAGGCACAGATACACATAAGTACAATTATCGTACAAGTATATATTATCTAAGATAATCCCCTCCCCCAAAGTCAGACAAAGTGACTTATTTTCCCTGGGGTCCTTGAAGACTGGAAAAAGAACACGGATAGAAGTGGAAGAAGCTAGTTTTGTTTGACGTAGGTTATCGCTCTTTCAGTTACTTTAGGGAAATGAGATGGTTTTTCTTTAACAGAAACTCTGAATCGATTGGCAGGCAGTGAATTCCAGATTTTAGGACCTTTTATGCGCACTGAGTGTTTGTGCAGGTTGAGTCGGACACCGGGGATGTCAACTAGGGTTTTGTGTCATGTGTTAATGTCTGATTCGCATATACGTTTATATACAATCTTATTAAAATATGATGCATATGTTGCCAAAGACTTATATGTATAATAGTAATTTCATATGAATCTGACACAAAACATTCAACAAATATACAATAGTAAGTGCAATACAATATACAACATCAATAAAAATAATAATAATAGTAATAATAGTGAAACATATTTTGCTGGTGTGGTTGAGATGATGGAATCGCCGCGGGTGATGGTGGTGGTTGTGGTGGAACGACCTGTGCCATACTTAAGGGTGTTTCTGAGTCGTCTTAAGCGTCTCTCCTACCCCAAACACCGCATCTTCCTGGTGATTCACGTCACCCAGCAGGCTCACCAGCACCTTCAGCAGGTACGTGAGAGAGAGAGGGCAAGGCAGGTACGTGGGAAATGACTTTAACGTCCACACCGAGGTTGTTTGCTGAGAACTCTTTATTTTATTTAGATATAGTTCTATCACGTGTTATCTAGATATTTGAAACAATGATAGAAAAAATGAAGACTCTCTTCTCATTCCGGTTACTGGCTGCATGCTGCCTGGATGCATTGCTTACAACTAAGACCTTTGATTATTTTCACGTCTTCATGTTCTTTTGGCCGAATGAAAGATCTCTGGCAGTTCTTATATTCCTTGCCAACCATTTTCCTATTTCTGGAGAATGTTTTGATAGTTAATTGTCACAAAGTGGGTAAAATTTTCTTATATATACATATAAATCACTACAACTACTGTCTGGCAGGTGGAGGAATTCTTGGAGGTCGTGGTAGAGCAGTACCTGGAAGTTGTCCTCCTGACACCTCAGCAGAACACTACCTTGACTGACGCTCGTCACCTCATCTGGTAAGTTGATTCGTATTCATTCTCTCTCACTCTCCCTCTCTGTCTCTGTCTCTATCACTCTCATTGTTTTACTCTATTTTTTGTCATTTGCTTACTTCTTATCTTATGGTTGTATGGTATACACTAAATAAGTGTGTATATCTCAGAGGTGTATCTCATTTATTTTGCACATAAATTTTACAGGATAAGAGCTGTTATCTTACCTCAGCTCATTTCAAAGCCTAGCTCTATCTCAGTTATTCTACCACCCCCAGGATGCCACCCACACCAGTCGACTAACGCCATGATACCTACTTACTGCTAAGTGAACAGGGGTAGGAGGCGTAAGGAAACATACCCAGTGTTGCCGGGAATCGAACTACGGACACTCGGTATGCTCCCCCGGACACTGAGTGCGCTACCAGCTGAGTGCTAAAGGTATATCTGCTGGTCAATGGAGACTGCTTCCTTAATAATCCCCATGACGTGTTTATGACCCTAAGTAACCTTGACACCATCTTGCACGAAGAAATAACAGACAAATAAAGTATATAATCCCTTACTGACAACGTTTCTTCCACACGGTGTGCTTTATTAAGTGGCAAAAAGATCTACCTGAGGAGAGAGGGTGAGCGTATATACGAATAAAGGTACAGTAGTGAGGCGACGAGTGAGGTGAGGCAGCTTGAAGCTAATATCTTGTGTACACTTTTTAGTTTGTCAGTAAAAATCCCATTCTACTGCGTTAGTGTTTTTTCATTGTTTTTTCAGGAAGTTGGTGAGGAAGGAGAACCTTGACTACCTCTTCCTACTGGAGGCCAACGCCCACCTTACCCACCCCGACCTCCTACAGCACCTCATAGCCACCAGGAGGTCAGTCAGTGGGGCTACGGAAGAGTACAAGTCACCTTGTTGGTGGTACACCTGTGATATGCCTGTTTACGATTTCGATGGCTTTTCTATCCTACCAACTCGACTTTAGTTTAATATTTTTATTATCCACCCCATACCCATCCTGTGGGCGGTAGTTAAAAGATTACAGAGGTACACCATGGGTCCAGGGACTGTAGCTGAACATTACAGAGGTACACCATGGGTCCAGGGAATGTAGCTGAACATTACAGAGGTACACCATGGGTCCAGGGAATGTAGCTGAACATTACAGAGGTACACCATGGGTCCAAGGGACTGTAGCTGAACATTACAAAGTACACCATGGGTCCAGGGACTGTAGCTGAACATTACAAAGGTACACCATGGGTCCAGGGACTGTAGTTGAACATTACAGAGGTACACCATGGGTCCAGGGACTGTAGCTGAACATTACAAAGGTACACCATGGGTCCAGAGACTGTAGCTGAACATTACAAAGGTATACCATGGGTCCAGGGACTGTAGTTGAACATTACAAAGGTACACCATGGGTCCAGAGACTGTAGCTGAACATTACAGAGATACACCATGGATCCAGGGACTGTAGCTGAACATTACAGAGGTACACCATGGGTCCAGGGACTGTAGCTGAACATTACAAAGGTACACCATGGGTCCAGGGACTGTAGCTGAACATTACAAAGGTACACCATGGGTCCAGGGACTGTAGCTGAACATTACAAAGGTACACCATGGGTCCAGGGACTGTAGCTGAACATTACAGAGGTATACCATGGGTCCAGGGACTGTAGCTGAACATTACAAAGGTACACCATGGGTCTAGGGACTGAAGCTGAACATTACAAAGGTACACCATGGGTCCAGGGAATGTAGTTGAACATTACAGAGGTACACCATGGGTCCAGGGACTGTAGTTGAACATTACAAAGGTACACCATGGGTCCAGGGAATGTAGCTGAACATTACAAAGGTACACCAGGGTCCAGGGACTGTAGCTGAACATTACAAAGGTACACCAGGGTCCAGGGACTGTAGTTGAACATTACAGAGGTACACCATGGGTCCAGGGACTGTAGCTGAACATTACAGAGGTATACCATGGGTCCAGGGACTGTAGCTGAACATTACAGAGGTACACCATGGGTCTAGAGACTGTAGCTGAACATTACAGAGGTGCACCATGGGTCCAGGGACTGTAGCTGAACATTACAGAGGTATACCATGGGTCCAGGGACTGTAGCTGAACATTACAGAGGTACACCATGGGTCCAGGGACTGTAGCTGAACATTACAAAGATACACCATGGGTCCAGGGACTGTAGCTGAACATTACAGAGGTAGACCATGCGTTCAGGGACTGTAGCTGAACATTACAGAGGTACACCATGGGTCCAGGGACTGTAGCTGAACATTACAGAGGTACACCATGGGTCCAGGGACTGTAGCTGAACATTACAGAGGTACACCATGGGTCCAGGGACTGTAGCTGAACATTACAAAGGTACACCATGGGTCCAGGGACTGTAGCTGAACATTACAGAGGTACACCATGGGTCCAGGGACTGTAGCTGAACATTACAAAGGTACACCATGGGTCCAGGGACTGTAGCTGAACATTACAGAGGTACACCATGGGTCCAGGGACTGTAGCTGAACATTACAAAGGTACACCATGGGTCCAGGGACTGTAACTGAACATTACAAAGGTACACCATGGGTCCAGGGACTGCAGCTGAACAAGTTACAATAATAAAGAACTATTTACATGTTTGTATCTAGTCACAGACTTAATGATGAGTTATTTGTGCAGATGAGTTAGGTTAAACCCGCATAAACAGTGGTAATACTTTATTTACAGTGAGCAAAGTTAGAGTATTTTTCCAGAATTGTTTGTAATATACCACCGTGGAGAAAATGGTATATTGTCCACAGTGGTATATTACAAATTATTCCGGGAAAAATACTCTGACTTCGTTCACTGTAAATAAAGCATTACCACTTTTTTAAATCCTTTTTTTAACCCGATCTTTGGCCAGGCATCCCTCTTGCTGAGTGCCTGCTCAACTAGACTGTTGATGCTAGTAGCCCGCTGGCCCACACAACCATTACAGCTGGGATAATACCCAAATATAAGACTTATATTTGTTATGGCAATATTTCTGGTGTCTGCTGGAAGCAGGTTGAGTGGTCTTCGGCTACGGATGTTGACATAGTGTTTCTCAATATGGCCATCTCATCCTCAGTTTTTTCTAAATTATTTTTTTTTATCTCATTCCATTAAGTTGTTATAAAGTGTGTGGGTTTGAGATCTGATCTCCAATATATTGCAAGTGCATATTCTTAGATATCTCAGTTTTGTTCCAGAGAGTACATTCCAAGTACATGTACTCTGAGGCATTACTGCTATTTTAAACTCTTAAATCTAGTTAAGTACAAATAGGAAGCGTGTGTCTGGCGCTCAGGAGACGGAGGATCAAGCATCCACCACGTCTTAAGCTGATTGACGCAAATGAGTTTAGCGCTTTACATGAATTATTAATAATTATTTAAACTCTCAACTCAATGCGGCCAGTAAACAATTCTCTGTGCATTTTTCAGCAATTAGATGACCCGTCTGCTGTCTGTAGTTTGTATTCGTTTTGGGTATTTCACTCGTTCATTGTGCAAGAAGCTGAAATATATCACCCCTCAACATCCTGTTACTTTCATTTGCCTAAGGAACATTTGTTTCATATCTGAACAATTTTTTCTATATCTTCTCTACTGAGGCGATATTTCATACTTGTTTGGGCATATCTGAACAATTTTTTCTATATCTTCTCTACTGAGGCGATATTTCATACTTGTTTGGGCATCTACTGAGGCGATATTTCATACTTGTTTGGGCATCTACTGAGGCGATATTTCATACTTGTTTGGGCATCTACTGAGGCGATATTTCATACTTGTTTGGGCATCTACTGAGGCGATATTTCATACTTGTTTTGGCATCTACTGAGGCGATATTTCATACTTGTTTTGGCATCGCCCTCAGAGAATGACAGGGAGCTGAGGCTGGTGTGTTTGTCTCTACTGTGAGGATGAGAAACAATGAAGGTGGTAGGAGCGTGTTTTGAGAGTTTTCAACTGTTTATTTTGCTAAGACTGTTTTGTTTTGTTTACTACCACTTTGTTCTGTTTGTCGGAAATTTGAATATCCATGTCCCTATTTTTTTCCTGTTGTTCCTGTTGATCTCATTTTATGGACTATCACTATATGGTGTAAACTTTGGCTTACCATAATTTCTTTTGAAAAGAAAGAAATATATATGAAATATAAAGTAGGCATATTTTCTTTAAAGTAAACAAATAAGGGCTAAAATGTAGCAGTTACTCAAGGACAACAGAATGATAAAGAACAAAGAGCATAAAGTATGGAATTACACTTTGGAAAACCATTCTTAGTAATGATTTCTTATTCTCTATTTTCTCATAACATTCGCTGTTGGAGTGTTTATTTTGAAGTACATTAACTCATTTACTGTAAATTTAGTCATTCTGCCTCTTTCCTGAAACCATACATTGTTCATCAGGGAGAATAACCTCTCAAGAGGAGCACAAGTGCCTGGTAGACATACTCCATGACACGGCTGACCTCAGCCGTGTCATGTAGCAGCAGCTTGAAGAAGAAAATATCTTGGCAACCACTGCTACAAGCACTGCTTCATCAAGCAGTTTATCCCCGTCAGTTGTCGGTTGAGGAGAATACTACAAGCGCAGATCTGCGCAGAATAGCAGATTGATTGAAATTTAATTTTTTCATATTTTCTTTTATCTTCTATTTTTTTTATTTTTGGGATATTTCCTTCCGGGAGAAAAGAACAAACTGTCCCGGGACTTCTGGAGAGGACTTTCAAACCGGGACAGTCTCGGTCAAAACGGGACGTATGGTAAGTCCTATGTAAACTATAACTACTTTTGTGTTCTTCATGGTGTCTCAGCATTTTATCAAAGTCTGAATAAATGATTTTGAAAAACCGACAACTTGATAAATGAGACACTGGTGCAACATTTGGGTATCTTCATTCTGAAACTGTTTCCAGACTATTGTTATGTGTGAGGTTAGTGCCATAAATCTGCTGCCTCCAACTCCTCTAACCTCTACATTTTATGAGGCCTCTGGAATTTCACACGAATCTAAGCTTCTCCAGAGAATACCGAATTCCTGTGCTAATTGTAATTGACATTCCTTTACAGATACCAAATTTGAGTCCAGGTGCTGCGTACATAGGCAGTGTCTAAAGAACAAAAAGGCACAATACCTTGACTGGAACAATACATAAATAACCCGCACATAGAAAAGAGAAGTTTATGACCACATTTCGGTCCGACTTGGACCAGTTACAGTCACACATAGTGTGACTTTGTAAATGGATGACATTTCGGTCCGACTTGGACCAGTTACAAAGTCACACATAGCGTGACTTTATAAATGGACGACATTTCGGTCCGACTTGGACCAGTTACAAAGTCACACATAGTGTGACTGTGTAAATGGTCCAAGTCGGACCAAAGCGTCGTCGTAAGTTTCTCTATGTGCGTATTATTTGTGCAGTGTTGTTGTTGTCTGTTCCTATTTTTGGAGTCTGGAGGACCTGTGGTGACGTCACTTGTATAATTTGTAGGATAGACAGAGTTAACCGAAAAAATTATCTGGGTCTTACAGTCTCATGGTGTTGATTGAACTGTTGAACACTGACTGATACTGTTGAACACTGACTGATACTGTTGAACACTGACTGATACTGTTGAACACTGACTGATACTGTTGAACACTGACTGATACTGCTGAACACTGACTGATACTGTTGAACACTGACTGATACTGTTGAACACTGACTGATACTGTTAAACACTGACTGATACTGCTGAACACTGACTGATACTGTTGAACACTGACTGATACTGTTGAACACTGACTGATACTGTTGAACACTGAC